TTTTTTTTTCCTTTAAATCATATTTCTCTAGTTTTAAGGTAACGGTCTTCGACATACTAAAGTATGTCCACCACTGGTGACATCAAACAAACATATTGGTTATATATTTACAAGGTATCAGCGTATTATAGTCTACAACAACACTTTATATTTTTAGTATATATTTATATATCAATAATTTTTTTAATTCACTTTATCTCATCGAAATGCATATTATTGGTTTTCTTATTATTTTTATTTTTTTTAAATTTTTTTTCTATTAAATCCACTTATGGTCCGGGTGTTGTTCTTTTCTGATCAAGACCCTCGCCTAAGTGGTTGGCGACCCATTTTCCTTTTTGCAAGGGAGCCATGAGGGTGGCGACTCCACAATCCGTTGCGTGGCCCAAGTCGTCACCTCTCAGTATTTACATTAAAGTTTTCGTACTTTTCCCGTGAATACGTTGTATTGATGTTTTATCGGGAAACTGTTTGGAGCATTCGAAATCCAAGCGTAGATCAACCGTTGAAGACTTGACGGTGTCGTTTTGTTTAGAACAATCAATCACGACTATAGGTCCACGTTTTTTGTAATTTATATAGTCCAATAAAGGATAAGGGTCTTTACGACCGTAATACATTGTCTGGAATTGTGCGTACGAGTTATAAAACGTTGTGTACTTGTTGTTGTCGAAATCGGCGTTTTGGTTTTCGTACGGGTATTCGTCAGCGTTGAGATACGCTTTGACGTTTCTCAATGAAAAGTGATTGAAATCTCCGAGAACGTGTTCGTCCTCATTACCCATGGTAATAAGTAAATATCTAGGTTTTTCCACATTCGAATAGGTGCGCACCGACCACGTGTAATGAGTTGTCTGTGGTACCAATGGGTAAATGGCAACGTCCCAGTGTTGAAATTCTAACGGGAGCCATTTCTTGCTGTCCAGAATACGCATCAGACCCAGTACAGTTTTCACGCTGGGTTCAAAGTACTTTACTACCCATTTTATTTTCGATATTTTCACGTTGATTTGTTTTATCAATATTGCAACTTGCGCTTTATCGTCTGTTGTTGTTGTCTGTGGAACAATTGATACGACAGTGCTGTCGGTACTCGATCTATTCAACACGAGTGTCTAAGTACAGTTTATCAGTGTGCGCCGATACCGTTCGAAAAATCCCATGCACATAGATAATGGACATTGCGCCACAAATTCAGTCCCATCGACGAAATCGTTGTTGTTGTGCAAGATTTGCGCGTATTTCCATCCAGCAGGTTGTAATCGTCGAATGTCGTTAGATGTGAATGAACAATATCCCTTGATGGTTGTAGCCATCCCAACGTATTTTATCTTGTCTACTTCTTTACCATTTACCTCAAATCTGATTTCATCGAATAGGTGCATGAGAAAATTTTGCCCCATAACCATTTCACCGGCTGTTCCAGCTGGTGGTTTTTCAAGTTTTCCTNGATGTTCCAGCTGGTGGTTTTTCCAGTTTTCCTTCGATTTGCAAATAACTTTCGCACGGCACGGTGAATTTCTCCTTGTTGCGCACCTCGATACGGATTTCATCGTTGTGTTCGTACGAGTTGTTGTAACTCTGATGTTCCAGATAGTACTCGCGTTTTACACTGTCGTCTTGTTGACATTTTTCCAACACGTGNCACTGTCGTCTTGCTGACATTTTTCCAACACGTGTAAGTACTCTGCCATGATTGACTCGACAACCCAACGATTTTCAAAATTCAATATTTTTCTTTGTTAGTTGCTGCTGCAATAGCGTCACACGATTATCCGGTTGCTCCGTCGTAGAGTATATGCCATCACTCAAATGATGGTGCACTACACTCCTGTTGAAACTCAGAGGCATTTAAAGAGTGTCAACACGTTTTTCCAGTATAAAGACACGGTCGTCGACTGAATAAAGTTCTCGAGCCAGTGCTTCCAAATGATAAATTGTGGCTGAACTGTTGTTGTTGTTGCTGTTGTCACTGTTTATCAGCTGAAAGCTGTTGACGGATGTTTGAAGGAGTAGTAATAGTTGCACGACTGTGACTAGTATGCACAAAAATAATCCAATTTGTGAGGAATCAAACTGTTTTATACGGTCCCATAACGTCATCGTACTTTCATCCATCCTGTTTGATGTGTAAACGCACTGTTAATTTTTCACCTCTTAGGTTGACACGTTGACCGTCCTGATCGAGCAATGCGATTCGAATCGTGTTCAATACGTTTGTGTTTAACGGATAGTAAACTACTTGTCTGGGACACTCGATAATCCGGTAGCCCGGTGGTACGTTTGGAAAGAATTCGTGCAATGTATGCGATTGACGTCCTCCGTGGTACGAACCAACAATTATATTGCAGTCGACTCGTATGCATGTAACCTTTGTTATAGATAACGGGAAATCCGACGTGTGTTCCATTTTCGGTGCCAATACACGAGGTCGGAACCCTAGTATACGACCGATTGATTGCGGGTGTGTAAAATCTATGGGGTGATCGCATTTGATTATGCTTCGCATAGTGTTGCGGTCGGCTGTAAAAGAGATAACGTTTCGATCACCCAACCTTTTGTCACCGATTTCTCTGCTGTTTTCCTTGAGTAAACCAACCGTTGGCAACAATGGATCATCAAAATCTATTTGTTGTTGTTGCACACTGTACTTATACTCTTCTCCGTTGTACTTGTCCGTGATTCGTTTCTGTAAATCTTCAAATTCGTACGATCCCGTCGGTAGTGTTATCACCATAATTGGTTTGTCAACAGTGCCGAAAATGAATTTGTTACAATCCTCGTCAATATTAGGTATAGTGTTCCACGTATGCAAGCTCAATAGCCCAATTTTACATTTGTCACCGACATCGATGGGTGGATTGAATGTACATTGCAATTCAGATCCCACACCGGTTAACGTTACCGTTGTTGTCATGTTGTTGTTGTTGTTCGATTAAAAATTCCAAACACAAGTGACCACAATTTACCTCGTCGAAGTTTTGACATCTACTATAGTTGTGCACGATTGTACATCCTTTAAAGTATCGTTGCAGTTCCAACGGTGGTGGTAAATTACCAAAACTGTCAAAATACGTAACACGTTTACCGCGTTTACTATAAGCTACCCAATGCGTGCCAGGGTTAGTGGAAAGATCCAAGTTCACTACAGCCATTTCGGTCATTTTCGGTCCCGACTTAGGTAATGTGTCACGACAAAACACGCCACGAAACACTTTATGGTCGAACGCTCGACTACCGAAATTTGCAATTTCAACATCGTACAAGGAACGATCGGGTAGCTGCGAAATTAGTTTTTTGTTTTTTTCGTCTGATTTTTTCGAATCATCTTTGTCGTACTCGTCGTCAATTTGAAACCAGACCCCGATTTGTATGGTTGCAAGTAAAATCCTTTACCCATGCTTATCGCTGCATTGCCTTTACGGCTAAGTTCGGTAGCCATCTTGACCACATTTGCAGCACCGCCGGCTAAAGCTCCCAACGCCGACAGTCCGGCAAATATAGGTATAAGCGGTAGTACACCGCCTTTAGTTTTCGGAACGTTTATGGTACGGGGCAGTGGAATTTTTTTCTTTCTCACCACACGTCGTGCCGCCTTCAACGATTTTTTTGCCACACTCAGTAAATCCATTTGTTGGGCATTTTTATCGAGTTTGGCCGCATGCACAACTCGTTTGAAACCCATACCGAGTTTACGTTTCAATTTCATCGCGTTGGTCACACTCCAAGCTGCGACTCGTTCAGGCAATTTAGCGTCTTTGGCCAACACTCGTTCCCAAGCCTGATGTTCCAACACTTTGTCTGCTTTATGACGGTCTTCGAGATTCTTGTATTTACTATAAATGATATCGCGATTGCGGCAAGCAGCATCAAGCGGGTTCACCCCAATATCACCTCGTTTTAATCTCTTTTCTAACCGTGTTCCAGGACCCGCAAATTGATAACCTAAATGATAAACATTTAAAATAATGATAAAACTATTTGCGAGGAATTATTTTGAATAATTACACACACCTGGAATGTGGGCTTCGAATGGTAATTTGTTGATTACAGNCCTGGAATGTGGGCTTCGAAAGGTAATTTGTTGATTACAGTAATCAATATCCCTGCACCTCGTTTTCCACGTTGTCTCTGTTTAACCATTATTTTCATATTGACAGTTATTGTTCAATGACTTGCGATGCGTTTCAAAAAACAGACTCTCACGCTACCTATCGTGAATTTTGAAAAAAGTAGTGAGATTGCACCTAGTAAACACGGTAAACTATTGCCAAATACAATACGTGCATTGATTTGCGGACCGTCAAATTGTGGAAAAACAAACTTGATGTTTACTCTATTGACCGATATCAACGGACTTCGATTTGAAAATGTTTACGTTTACTCGAAATCGTTGCATCAGTGCAAGTATCAACTACTCGTGGATGTTTTACGCGGCGTCTAAGGAGTACAGTTGTTTACCTATGAAAACGGCGACGATGTACCGTCGGTGGACAAAATCCTGCCCAATTCGGTTTTTATATTCGACGATGTTGTCATGGAAAAACAAAATGTAATGTGTGATTATTTCGCGCGAGGACGACACAGGCAAGTTGATGTTTTTTTTCTCTCCCAAACACTGTCGCGCATACAAAAACAAATGTTACGTGACAACACAAATGTTGTGGTGTTGTTCCGGCAGGATGAAGTTAATCTACGATACGCGTACGATGAATACGTGTGTTACGATATGAAATTTGGAAAATTCAAAGAGTTTTGCAAAGAGTGTTGGAACAAGGATCGGTACGGATTCGCAGTGATTTGTTTGGACTTTGCGTGGGATGACGGTCGATACAGATACAAGTTTGACACATTTGTTACAATATGAGCGCCGATAAGGAAACATTGCTGAAACTGTTGACTGAAGCCCGGGAAAATGTTCGAAAAAAGTACACAGAATTGCGTCGTGGCGAAGCGGATTCGTTGACTCGCGTAAAACGTCAGTTGGCGCCAATCATTGAACCATTAGATAAAATTGCGTCACAGCAACAGCAACAACAGCAAAAACAACAACAACAACAAGAACAATTACAGCAAACTATCAAGAGTTTAAACGATGATAGATACACTGTGGAAGACGATGACGGGTTTTTCCATCAGTACATGTATCAATGGTCAATGAACCCCAATAGAGATAAAATGTATGGACCAAAGGTATCACCAGATGGAACAATGACATTAGGTGAAGCCGACAATATCTTTCTCGACAGAGGAACAATTAATGTTTTAGATGAAAAATTCCCTCTGACTATGGGTCTTGTGGATTTACTGTTTTCGAAAAACCCTGGAGTTTACTCCGAATCGGATTTGCATGCGTACAAAACGATTCTCGGCAAAACCGGTGTGCATTTAAATAAAGACGGAACATTGAAAAAAGGAGGTCAAAAGTATGTAAACACCATTAAACCATTGTTTGATAACGGTTATGGTGGTAACCCAAACAATTCCTTACCGTTGTTTGAAAGCAGCAGCAGCAACATCAGTGACACATCCATTATCGGTGCGGGTCTACAATTGAGATTGAACAACAAGAAAAAAGATTACGTTTACTGGGACGACCCCAACGAGCTCGTGGAACGTTTACGTTTATTGATATCAGCCCGGTCGGCTGGCAACACTGGAGTTTCACCGGAAATCGTTTCTATATTGGAAGAGCTGCAGGAAGCCGGTTACATTGAACAGATACCAGCGGCGTTATGAATAAGAACATTGCTAACGAACTTCACCGGCAGGCTCGCAGTACGTATACCCGTGCCCGGATAAATATCAAGGGTCTCGATGATATATGGCACGCTGACCTCGTGGAAATGCGCGCATACCCTGATCGACGACATCGGTATATTTTAACGTGCGTCGATGGATTTTCAAAATACGCGTGGGCCATCCCGTTGAAAAATAAAACGGCCAACGAAGTTACCGCAGCCATGAACGGAATACTGAAATATGGTCGTCATCCTAAACTTTTGCAAACGGACAATGGTAAAGAATTTTACAATAAACAATTTCAAAAACTGATGTCACAATACGCAATCAATCATTACTCTACTTATTCCACGATGAAAGCGTGTCTAGTGGAACGTTTTAACCGCACGCTGAAAAACGCAATGTGGCGTGACTTTAGTGCACGTGGCTCGTACAAATGGGTGAATGGTTGTCTGCGCTGTTGCACGACTACAATAACGTGCGTAAACATAGAACAATCGGTATGACACCGGTGCAAGCTGTGAAAAACCCAGACCTGGTTCGCTTCAAGTTACGTCAAATACCGGATAGTTTACCGGTAAAATTTCGTGTGGGAAACAAGGTGCGGATCAGTGTACATAAATCAGTGTTTGATAAGGGTTACTTACCAAACTGGAGCACCGAACTGTTTACCGTAGTTAAGGTTAGGCAAACAGTACCGCCAACATACTATCTAGAAGACTATCAGGGAAATCCAATACGTGGTTTGTTTTACACCGAAGAGCTGAACAAGACCAGTTATCCGGACATGTATTTAGTCGAACGAGTGTTACGAACACGAGGGGACCAGTGCTTCGTTAAATGGTTAGGATTTAGTCCAGAGCACAATTCATGGATACCCAAAACCAATATCTCACCTCAATGATTGTCGATATACAAGGTATTGTGGCAGCCGACCGATCGTTTTTGGTCAAGGAACTGACTGTCATTGCCATAGACTGTACTTCATTCGCTCATTGGATGTTTAAACATCCAAAAAGTATCGAGGGCGATGCTAAAACAAACTTTTGGTTGAAAAAATACCTACATGGAATGGATACTCGTTGCGGTGACGTTGAATACAATGAGTTGCCGAGAATCATGAAACTGTTGCGGTGCGAGACCATTTACGTGAAAGGAGCTGTGAAAAAGCGAGTAGTGGAAAAGTACATACCGGGACAACGTATAGTCAACGTCGAGGATTTGGACTGCCCACCGCTGTACAATTTAAGTTGTGTTACAAAAATGTGTTGTATCCGACACATGAACAACCCGACAGTGTGTAGTTTATACAAGGCAATCTGCTTAAAACAATGGATGAATTATAATATGTAACATTATTGTCAAAAAATGATTTTGCAATATTCTCATTTGTATTCGTACAATAATTATATTTTCCCTAAATAAAATGTATATTAATGATTATAGTAAAATAAATAAATATTTCTAAATTACGTGTAGTATTTACTATAGGTTATTAATACCTATTGTAAAATAATCTATCTGGTATTATCGAAATAAATAGAGGGTAATTACTTTAATTAATTAAGCATTTATTATAATATCAATTCTAACTTACATTTATTTACAATTCAATTCATTAAAATATTACATTAAAAAATCTTAAAACTATATTTACAACTATATATTTATATACAACACTTATATTTACAAAAACCTTATCATAAAATTCAATTACACGGTTTATCATACAATATATTTTACATTTATCAATATGGATATTTAAAGAGTTTTACAATCTTATTATTACTATAAAAACTAATGTTGCTTAAATTTCTTCCGATGGAATAGCATAATGTCCGTAAGCCAGCGTGTCAACTCTGTTGTCGAGCGTGTAGCGCTTATCGTCGAAACGGTTAAGCGCCAACTTGGTTGTACGTAAAGTGCGTACCTCGTGCTCGAAAGAACGAATTGACACGTTCTGTCGGTACGGAGTGTACGGTAATGATAATGTCGCTGGAATCTCACCATCACGTACGGCTCCGATGACTACACGGGCATTGTCTCCNGGCTCCGATGACTACACGGCCAACGCTCGTTTTGACGCATCGTCACCATCGTCGCCATCGTCTTCAAACAAACATCGTTTGTAATCGTCCAAAGTCAGATGGTTCCGGACGACATGTCCACGGATCCCCTTAGACTTGATGAATTCGCTGCCTTCCATGTCAAATGCATAGCACTTTGAACGAAGTGCAGCGATCTCAAAGAGGGTGAGGCCGCCGGTCTCGTCTGAAAACAGACCAGGCGTCTTCTTCCTCGAGGTCGAGTAACAAGGGTGATCCTTGGGCAGGCTAGATGCGTCCACGTACACCAGTAAATCGGGGCTGNGTGTCCATGTACACCAGTAAATCGGGGCTGTCGGCTAAATCCTGGTAGAAGTCGCTGACTCTGAGCAGGTAAATGAAGGAGTCTGAGAAAAATTAAAAATATATAAATATTGTAAAAATATTTCTACTGTACGGTTGTACTCACCAGTATCCATGTAAACCAGGCTAATTGCGTCGCCATAATGAGGTTTTAATACGTCGTAGAAGTACTTGTACATTAGTGACATGCTAATGTCAAGCACTGCTAAACCGACGTATATTGGTTTGAGAAACTTGACAATCTTTGTGTCCATTATGACGGTGCACAACCTTTCGCCGTATTTGATACAGTCGTTGAAGGTTGGTTGGTTTACGAGCTTGCTTAGACGTTCGGGACTGGAGATTAGTTCAATGCGGATGCGTTTCCGCATGTTCTCCATGGTTTTCCCTATAAAATATAAATATTTATCGAATAACCCACAACTGCTTTACCATTGAGAGTGCACTTACCAAGGACGGCATTATTCATTAATTTGAAAAACGATATTTCAAAAGCATTTGCCGCCTGTTTCCGCATTTCAGTGTTCAACTCAATGTACGGTTTCAACCAAGCACTTTGTTGAAACTCTAAAACGCGGTGCACCTGTGTAACAAACATATTAATATCATAGCTAATAGCTCTAGGTACGATGTATATACTTTATCGACTTACAGTCCGTGTGCGATCGCCTGTTTCAAGTTGACATAGTGCACGACGTACCGTTGTTTGGGTTTCAAAGTGGCCATGAGTTTGGTCTCTTTGGAACCCGGTGGTACATCGTTGCCAGGCAATAACGGCAAGTCATTGTGCTCGTCATGCAACTCTTCTGGATACGATACATCTACTTCATATATACGCCCCGTATGACCAGTGTCCGAAAGCAATTGGAGGTCGGCCAGAGGATCTGATTCTTCATACCACCGGAAGCCACCGTATGGCATGGGCTGACTCATAGCCCACCCGTAAAGGTTATTGCCTATATACATTAAACGTTTTAAACCACCGCTCAATTATTGTACTTTTATATGATACTTACAATCTTGATACACGATCCATGAGTCTGGTTTTGTAGGATCGTAGCCAGGTGTCTTAGGATTGTTGGCCTTTGCATAGTGCTTGACGGCCTGCACCAGCCCACCACGAATGCCCTGTTCCACCATCAGTAGCATGTCGTAGTCGTTTAAGAGCTCCAGCTTCACCCTGGTGTACTTCAACATACAATCGAAGCTAAAACCTGGTGCGGTATAATAGTGCGCCGGGTCCAAATTGTATGTTGTAATACAGATGTCGCACCCCCAGGGGGGCACTATGTATTTAGTGCTACGGGCTTAGCGGACCCGGGGCCCCGAGCTATGGGCTGACTTTAGTTAGTTGGCTCAAACTGGTCCTCCAGGTTGGGGGTTTGAGCGACGGGCTAACAACCCGTCCTCTTTAAAAACAAAACTCTTGTTAAGAAACTTCAACCAAAGCCTCGGATTGTGGATAAAAATGGATCACGGAATGGAAATAGGAACCGGAAAAATTTGGAGTTACGGATTGGAACTTGGAATATAAGAACTTTATTTAAACCAGGCGCCTTGAAATGTATTATTGATGAAATCACTAGATACAAAATCCCCATAGTAGCCATACAGGAGGTTCGATGGCTTAATAGTGGTAATATACAAAGTGGCAACTCAATAATATTCTACAGCGGTCTACAAACTGGTAGACACGAGAAAGGAGTTGGTTTTGTGATTGATAAAGCAGTGATGACTCAAGTTAAAACATTTGTGCCAGTGAATGAACGCATCTGCTACCTACGAATATCTCACCAGAAACTAGATTTAATAATATTGAACTGCTATGCGCCGACTGAAAATGCAGACGACGAGGAAAAAAATAGTTTCTATGATACTTTAGAAAGAACTTTTGACGCATTGCCTAAAAATTGTATTAGGTTAATTGTTGGGGATTTAAATGCTCAAGTTGGTAGAGAAACATCCTTTGGACAAACGATCGGTAAAGAGAGCTGGCATGCTACCACAAATGACAATGGTCACAAAATAGTTGATTTTTGCTCTTCAAAAGACCTCATAATTAGCAGCACTTATTTCCCAAGAAAAAATATTTATAAACATACATGGTCTGCTCCAGATGGGAAAACAAAAAGTCAAATTGACCATGTCATCATAGACAAGAGGCACAAAACGTCAATTCGTAACATTAGAAGTTACAGAGGAGCCGATGGAGATACAGACCATTATTTAGTTGTTGCAACGTTCGCACTAAAGCTATCAGTAAAATGGAGGAGTAAGATACATACAGGAAAGAATAACAAACTTGACATAGAAAAAATTAGGAATTCAAAGGAGATAGATACATACCAAAGAGAGATATCTGAAAATCTCAGAAAATATAATCTTGCAGAACATGAATCGGATAACATAACATTGTGGTCAAAGACAAAAGAATCTCTAACAAAAGCTGCTGAGAGATTTCGAGGTAAGCACATTAAACAAAATAAAAATCATTGGTATAACTTGGAGTGCCAAGTTGCGATTAACAAGCGAAGTTTAGCTAGACAAAATATGATACTGAATCCTACACCAGAAAACATTAATGAATACTCAAAGCTTAGAACTGTAGCCAACAAAGTAATTAGACAACAGAAACGCTCAATGGAAAAAAAAGTTTTAGAAGATATCGAATTATATAAGAAAGAACCGAGACTGTTTTTCAAGAAGTGTAGGTCGGTTAAGGAAGGATTTAAAGCACGTATTAATTTCATCACAGACAAAAGTGGTAATATAATTTCAGAACCTAGCGAGATTGTAATCAAATTTCAAGAATTTTTCGAAGAACTCCTAAATAACAAAAATAACCGCATCGGAAGTAACAATAATGAAAAGTACGAAGAATTAGTGTATCATACAGCAGAACCTGAACTTCTAGCACCAAGTATCGAGGAGATTGAAATAATCATTAAATCACTAAAGAATAATAAATCTCCAGGGGATGATAACATAAATTCTGAACTACTAAAAATTGCAGGAAAAGATGTACTAATTAACCTACACCAAATTATAACGAATATATGGAACACCGAACAAATAGAGCAGGAATGGTCGTCATCAATTATTTGCCCAATTTTTAAGAAAGGGGACCCAACAAAAGTTGATAATTATCGAGGTATTTCGTTATTAGACACTGCGTATAAGGTGCTCTCAATAGCTATCTTACGAAGGATAGAAGCATTCGCTTTTGACATAGTAGGAAAATATCAATGCGGCTTCACAAAAGGAAGATCCACCAGTGACCATATCTTTACGCTCAGACAAACAATGGAAAAGTATTATGAGTTTGACAAAGACTTACACATGATATTTATAGATTTTAAACAAGCGTACGATAGCATCGACAGAGAACAACTATGGATAGCATTACAGAATTTTGGGTTGCCCAAAAAACTTGTAAATCTAGTTAAAAGCTGCAATTCTAATGCTACATGCAAAGTGCGTTTCTTGGGAAGGGAGTCAGGGGACTTCGAAGTCAAGTCTGGTTTAAGACAAGGGGATGCGCTATCCCCGATTCTATTCAATATAGCATTGGAAAGAATAGTGAGAGATATGAATGAAACCCGAGAAATGGATTTAAATGGTAAGGGAACATTGCTAGCATATGCTGACGACATTGTCATTCTTGGAGACTCTCAAGTCGAAGTAGAAGAAAGTACAAATAAATTAATTAAGTCTAGTAAAAGAATGGGCCTCAATATAAATGAGAGCAAGACAAAATATATGATCATGAGCAGGCGTCCAAGAATTTTACAGAATCTCTCCGTAGATGAATATACATTTGAGCAAGTAGAAGACTTTAAATACTTGGGGGTTAATTTGAATAATAGGAATGATATGCATAACGAAATAAGGTTGAGGCTGAATGCGGCAAATCGAGGATATTATGCAATGAGCAAAATATTCAGTTCTAAACTTCTCTCCAGAGAAACTAAGAGAAAGCTATATATTTCCTACTTACGGCCCATAGTAATGTATGGTTGTGAAACGTGGTCAACAACTAAAGGGGACGAGACAAAGCTACTAACATTTGAGCGAAAGGTTCTTAGAAGAATATATGGTCCCATATATAATACGGAAACAGGTCAATATGAAAGGAGAACTAATGCAGACATTGAAAGAATCTTTAACGGACCAAATATCCAAAAATATCTTGTATCAAAAAGATTGGAATGGGCCGGACACATATGGCGAGATAAGGACAGTCTAATGAGACAAGTTTTGGTATCTAAACTAAATAAAACACGCCCCAGAGGAAGACCACGTCAGCGTTGGCTGGATCGGATAAAGAAAGATTTAGTTCAAGTAGATGAAACGGCAAGAATTGAGGATGCAGACAATAGAGACCGATGGAGGGGTTTGGTAGAAGCAGCGAAAGGCCTTAATGGCCTGTAGAAGCTAAAAAAAAAAAAAATACAGATGTCGCGAAAGTTTTCAAACATGTCGACCAACAACAGCACGTCAATCTTTAGGTATAGGTCGCTGTACTCACCTAGGGTTGAGCAACCGAATCGATTCCACACCTCTGTGGCGTGTCTATAGTCGTCGTCATCGATATTCGACTCATTCAACTGACTATAGAAAGCGTCGCGGGGTGGTAGTACCGTTTCGTCCAATTTAGCCCAACTATCAGTGTACTCGTAAGGGTATACGCCCTTACGCGTCACCAACGGCATGTCTTCCGGGCGGAACACCTTGGCCGTCTCCCGGAATTTAACGAAATCGGGTGTCATTAGGTTACCAGCCAAGGTGGACAGAGAGAAGGCCATTAACCGTAAGGTGTCGACAAACCGTATGGAGAAGTTATTGGTCACGTGTTTCGTGACCGAAATATACTTTTCCTCGGAATTCGGTATAACCGAAATCCTTTCGTCGTCGTTATATTTCGAAAATATAAATATATGAAATTTTAAAAATTTGCGACTTTTAAATTTGAATTTTTTTTGAAGATTTCCCCCATATACGAATAACGTGGGAAATTTTTTCAATTTCTGAGGATAATGTTTTCGACTAAATACGATTTGTGATCTACAGATGTATCGTTGAAAGAAATCGGTTTGGTTAGAGCTGAGAAAAAGTGGTTAAAGCTACAACAAAAAATAAATAAAAAAAAAAACAATCATAGTAAAATTCGAAATAAAGCTAAAAATTATAAATTAGTTGTTACTTTATAGTAAATATTTATAAAATTAAAGGGCTTGATAGAAAACTTTCGGAAGATAATGTGTTGTTATTTATGAATAAATGGTATACAAGGAATTTTCATTAGAGTCTGCAATTAAATTTATTCCATCACCACTAATTTTTGATTTTTATAATTATTGATATGTTTTTTAGTTTCGTTGCGATACTGAGAATGTATTAATTATCTGTTACCGCCTTTTCTTGCTTTCACCAAACCGATTTCTTTCAACAATACGTCAAAAGATCAAAAATAGTATATAGTCGATAGCATTACCCTCAATAAAAAATTTTCTTGTTTCCTGTAAATGAGGAAAATCTCAAAAAAAAAAAAATACAAAAATAAAACTAAAACTACCATAACTAATTAAAAAGTGACCAAATCAATATAACTTTTTTTAATAGATGCATGATGTTTTTAATTATTATTTGTTATATTTTTTTTTTAAATCTGACAATAACCTGCTCACAGTGGGATATTTAAAATGACAACTTTTTCACAAAAAATTTACTTTTTCAACTTATCTTTTTAAAGTGTTCTGGAAATACTGACAATTTTATATATATCTTAAATTAAAGCGTATTTAATATACTTCAATATAATGTTAGCTAACACACTCCCCTAAATACTATTGACCAAATTGTAATAAAATATACATAACATTAAAAAAATAAACAAAAAATACATATATTAAAATTATGACCACGAACTTTTTTATTTTTTTTACCTGTATAACAATAATGTGATAATGGTGTATATTAAGACTTTTCTATAGTTTCTTGTTGTTCATATAATTTTTCTAACATTTTAGTTTAATTTTTTGTAATCATTTTATGATAATTTAATCCCAAAATATAATTGTTTGTATTTTTTTGAAATATAAAAATTATTAGTAGTGATATATTAGGAGACTAAAATATTAATAACATATTACATAACATATCAATTTATTATACTTTTGATTTTATAGAAATAATTT